AGATGGGAAATTTCAATTTAAAGTGACAACATAAAAGGGTGACAGATTAGTGCTTGGAAGATAAACTATAACCTAGTGGTGTCTGATACCAAGTGAATCTCTTGTTTTGCTTAGTCCAAGTTGAAGAGCTGTAGTCAATAATTCACATGCATGTAACATGGCTGAATAAGAATAGCAACCACCTCCTATGAAATAGGTAATGGCCACCAAAAAAAACAAAAACACCAAAACGTGTGCTGCAAAATGGAACTTTGTCTGTTTGCAATGTACCAACCACTAGAACATACTAGGTCTTGTGTGTTTGTAGGGTGCTACGTGTAGAAAGCCCACTGTAAACACAGTGGATTACGATAAAACAAACAAGACTGTTTTACACTGGGTTTTTTTAATCATTTTCTTTTTTCTTTATTTCTACCCTGTGAAGGAAATCGGTGTAAAATTCAGGGCTGCTTGAAAATCCCACCCTACACAGGAAATATACCCTCTTTCCCCAAAAACAAAACGAAGAAAACATTATACAGATTTAATTACTTAGAATAAAATTATTTCTATCATTTTACACTGATACAAACTCATTCAGAATGAATGGAATGCTTCATTTTGACTGTTTCACTGAAAACCAAAAATGTATGCCTTACGTGACATGAAGCAGCATGGTCATTTATTGTTTCTCAAATGAGTAGTATTCTTTTCTGCATTTAAAAGGGCTTCGAATAAAGCCTTGGCTGAAAACAACCAGTGGGATTCTCTGAAACTGGCTGGTGACTCCCACCCCCATTCCTACATGAAGATTCAGCAAGAAACCACTTCCAACATGAAGCAGCTGCCAGTGGTAAGAGTTCCCATTCTCCAATTGCCAGGATGAGGGTCCTTCACCAACAGCTGTTATGGTGTTCTGCGACCTTTAAACAGAGCCAGCGTTGAATCACCAGGCAAGTAGAAGTCACTCTTCGGCCTCATTCACACTAGAAACGGCTCGCATGTACAGCTTCGTGCTCCGTGCACGGCCGTATTGGGCAGCTTCCGGGAAGGACAGGTGCTGCGTGTGATTAGTACACAGCCCCTGTCCTCTATGGGAATACACGGCCGTACGCCGCCCTACGCTCACCTCAAGTGCCATTCCGTACGGGTGCAGGTATCCCGGCTCAGACAGGATCCATCCTGTTAGCGTACCAGTATGGACACCCGCACAAACTTGCAGGGCGGATGAGCGTAGGGCGGCGTATGGCCGCATAGTCCCATAGAGAAGGACAGGGGCTGTGTACTAATCACACGCAGCACCTGTCCTTCCCGGGAGCGGCCCAATACGGCTGTGCACGCAGCATGGAGCTGTACATGCGGGCCGCTTCCAGTGTGAACGAGGCCTTACTAACCGCTATAAATTGGTGCGTTCCCAGTTTCCTACTAAGTCGAAAATCCTGGTGTCTCCCATTACATAGCGGAGGCTCAAGTAAGTTTAGCCCTACGCCAAGTAAACTTTTAACCTACAACTGTCTCTGTTAACCTGTAAAAGTCTACCAGATATCCAGGTAGAAGGATCTGCAGGACAATCCAGGATTCTAAAATGTTCAAACGGGGACAATAAGCAAGGCAATATACAGCACATTGGGCTGAAAGCCATATAAAGGAGTTATCCTTCAACAGACAAATGAAGGAGATCAGTCCACTAAAAACACAAGCTGGATGCCATATGTTTGTAAAGGCCAAATACAATGTTAGAACAGACTTTTCAGAGTCCGGCCATACTGAAGTCCACTGGGACTGTATACCAGATACAAAAAAGTGTGTGTATTCTGTGATCCCATCAGAGGAACAACAGAAGTAAACAAAATGGGACTTTGTAACTATCAATGTACAGTTATCCAGCCAGCACTGGCTAGTTTTCGGCATCATACTCTCCATAGTTCCACAGAGCATACTGGCCAAAGAGCGCTAGTGACACTAGTGAAAGATTTTCCAAACTAAAGCGTAGGGGACAAAACCATCATCTTCCAAGAATAAATATAAATGGCTGACATCATGTCCAAATTATTCCAACCACCCCAAATTCCTTTAAAACAAACCATTTTATTCCCAAAAACTCCAGCTTTTTTCATTTTATTGTTCAAGGTGGGTTTTTTTTTTTTTTTTGGAACTGGAGTTTAAAAAGTAAAACATAGCTTTACCAATATATACAGTCTTTTACCTACATGTAATAGGGAAAAAAAATAAACAAAATTTGCATTTGGGCAAACAGTGTGTCATGAAAATCATCAAGCATCCTGGGAAACACAGGTTATGATCCGACACGAGTTGTGGTGGTTCTTTTATCCGAGAAGAAACTTTTGAGCAGGAATACCTGTCCAATGCTTACAACTAGAAGAATGATAGCCTCTCCTATAGACCAATAGGCTACTCTTGTATTAAGATCTTCCGCTCGGCTGCGTCCTTGTGCCTCCCTTAAACGGAAGTGCGTCTGGTAGTCAATGACTGACTTCAGGGCTTCATGGATTGATACGCAAGCGGATTCCATCTGTATAAAAGAAATGCACAAAAAAAGAGAAATATAATGCATATTGCGAGGGGTTCAAACTCTAAAATACAAGCGAGGACAAAGAAATGTTCATACTAGGGCTGCGGAAATTAACGATTAATCCCTCGATTAATCGTTAATTTTTTTTGATCGATCAAAGTTCTTTTGATCCGTACTCACCTCTCCGCCGACTTCCGGGTCTTCCGTCGGTGATCCGGTGACGTCATGGACATAGACGTCCCCGGACTCCCCCCCCTTTCCCCAAGTGGCTGTCGGCTAATGAAGGGGAGGAGTCCGGTGACGTCGATGTCTGACGTCACGGGACTCCTCCCCCTTCCCTTCTTTACCCGATGGAGCTGCTTGGGCCGGTGAGTACACATCCCGGCTGGGAGAGAAACACTTTTTACCGGAAAGGTTTAATCTGCTCAATCGAGCAGATTAAACCTTTCCCTGCAATCGTTTTTTTTTGAGTGGGGCACGTGAGATTAATAACGTGCTGGATTAGTGTGATCCTAGTTCATTTTATTACTTCATTGCTGTGCTGTATGTGTATAGGCCAATGTAGTTGGATCTGTATGTGCCTTATAATTAATCGAAATTAATCGATTAAAAAAAAATTCGATTAATCCAACAGGAAATTTTTAATCATTACCAGCCCTAGTTCATACACAAATGAGCAACGTTCAAACAGCAACAGGGAAAAGGTTTGAAATCACACATAACATGCAACAGTTGCAGAAGAGCGCCGTAGAAAGTTATCTGCCACAACATGTAAATGGCTCTTAGTATTATATCCCCAAAAAAGTTTCATATAATGTGGAAAAGCATTAAAGTGGTCATCATATACCGCATTTGCCAGCATATAAGATGACTTTTTATACTTAAAAACATCCCCGAAAATCGGGGGTCGTCTTATGCGCGTGGTATACAATGTGAAACCTTTAGTTCGTTTGGGCCAAGCTGGCCCAAAAACGAACGTCCCTTGTAGACATGAGGGGCTTCATTTATTCACTCACTCGCAGTTTCCCAGCTGATGGGAGGCTCGCGGGCATTTGACGGGAAAAGTGGCGAAGGTGGTGAGCAGGACCCGATTAGGCCTCGTGAGGCATCGTCTGTCTCCCTTTCTATACTACCTTTTTCTATCCTTCTTAAGTCTTCTCTCTTCTTCTCCGCCCCCCCTCCCCCCCTACTTTTTGCCACGATTTACCTCATTTACCCATTACTATGCATATGGTATTGATTTATTGCTATAGGAAAATACCTGGTCTGCCATGTAGGCTCATGCCGGCGCCAGATTTTGGTTGCAGTACAAGATGTATACCCTATGATACATGGCGGTGGAAGTAGTTTCCTTGACTGATGTATGAGTACACGCTGTACTAATGTTACTTTCTTACTGTTTTGTTATAACTCTATAAAACTATAAATAAAGAATTTATTTAAAAAAAAACGAACGTCCCTAATCTGTCAGCCTGCTGGATGTGCGGTAATACTGTACGTACGGTAGCTTCGGCTACATACAGTATACCGTGCTGAGCCAATCACGACGAGCGATGTACACAACCTCTGCCAACCTGAGCAGGCTTTGTATTCATTAATAAAATATATAGCTTGCCGTGATTGGCTCAGCACGGTATACTGTATGTAGCCGAAGCTACCGTACATACAGTATTACCGCACATCCAGCGGGCAGACAGATTAGTGGGTGTATTTAAACAAAATGGCTGGTAGACAAGACCCCATCATGGCTCCAGCAAGAAGGAAATATAAAGCCTCGGAAGGGGGGTAGTCTTATACGACGAGTATAGCCCCAAACCTATTGGGTTTTCACTGGCAAAATTAGGGGATCGTCTTATACTCCCAACGCATTATACGCCGGCAAGTACGGTTAATGGTCGTAACTGACTGTTAAAGCTTTGCTAGTGTTGTCAATGTATGTGCAGAACTGGTTATGGGTTATGTAAACCTTAACAAGAACTTCTCTTATTTGGTTCCTTTGTGACTGTTAAATACACATTTAAAAGTACTGTTGAACCCGACAGATATTTTGTCAGCTGATAACATTCTGTGCTCTTTCTGTACTGCACTATTATCAGTTACATTGTTCCCAGCAACCTCTGAAACCCTCCTATCTGTTGTGTAAAAGAGGTTGGAAGGAAATGTAGTGGTGTCTTGGGGTGACCATATTGATCCTACACAGACATCGTACAGTTAAGGAAATTTGTCATCCTAGGGCGAGAAGCGTTTTATTGGCAAGATCACCAGGTGAAAAGGAAACGCCTGGAAAAAGAAAACGAATGCGGCCACCACCATTAGTGCCCATTTCCACCTTTGTAAGTGATTAGCATTCTGGAAATGTAGAGGTGCAGTGATGATGTACAGTATATGGGTATACATGTTCTATAAAATTATCTACAAATTCCAAACCCCCTCAACAGGAAACTCGATCTGACACTGGGGTCAGATTGTCTTGTACGGGCAGTAAAGCAGATGTCCCCTCCATGTGAGTTATTGTAGCAAGATCACTACACACTGTCTCTCCAGGTCCCCCTACACTATCCAGGGGGGTGTTGCCATTACGAATATTAATGAATGGGGGGAGAGAGCTCAGTTTTCACAGAGAAGCTCAGGGGAGCATAGCATTGTTGGAAATGGAGTATTCCATGCTCTACATTGTAGTTCCCACTGTGGACAGCAACCTGTAATTTACACAGACTGCTTGCAGAGCAGAGAGGCGGCCAGTTCAAAATGAGCTATGAGGAGATGGAGGACAGCTAAATGAAAAGTAACTTTCTGTGTTCATATACAGCAACTGCATATGCCGTCTTCATGTACTCTGTGTACTCTGCAGAGGTATTTTTTTTAAAACCATACGCCAGCAAAGGTGGAAATAGGCTGTAAGGACTGGTCAACTGTACCACATTATATTTTTTTGTTAGGTTATACTATGTTTTCCTGTAGTTTGTGTACTTCCATGTGCAATGGGGAAATATATAATAATTATACCACCATGGCCAGTGGGAGATTAGTCCGTCAGCTCTTCACAAACTGGCAAGCTCATAACTAGCGTATTCACTAGGATCCCAATTCAAAATAGACTTGCATAGTTATTATGAATACAGATAGCAAAATGTATACAAGAAATTCCTCTGCAGTGTGAGCTATCAGCTCAAGCTTACTGCAGCAGTCTATAGGTACCCATCTCATATCTATGGAGAGCCCTGACTTCACCTGGTGGGCCCCTGTCTGCGAGAACAGTCAAAGTCTAAGGGCTCTTGTAGGTCTATGATATGGTTGCAGTCAATTTACAGAGCAGAAGAAGACAGAGGTCTGCCATTAATGCATTAACAGATGCCTACAGCTGAAAATAAAAAAAATACAGATCTGGACAAATGTAGAGCAAAATAGCGGAATGCTTAAACCCCATTACTGATTGTATTTCTGACAAGAGAAAAACATGGAACAATCATTTTGTGTACACATAGCTTATATTAAACTTTGACATGGTCTTTTTTTAAGCAGCAGCTTAAAGCTATCATACTCTACCTGAGTCAGTGCAGTGGCTCTGTTCTCGCTGGGGAACAGTGGAGGATCTTCTCCGACTTGGAAGTCAAAGTAGACGGTCTTGTGGGTGAACGTAGAAAACTCATTGCTGAAACAGAACTTGTATGTTCCATTGCGGGAGGCTGTGAAAGTGAAGCTGTCGTATTGTTTCTTCATCTCCTTGTACAACACTATCCCATCAGGGTCCTCTAGCCGGCAATCCACATCATAATGGCCACCTGTAATCACCTGATGTATATATATATTTAAAAAAAAAAGTCAGAAAGAAAAACAGAAGAGGCTGGCACAGTTACTATATATAAATAGTACTAGCTGTCTGCTCATTCACTGAGGATTCATAGCTATGTATATTAATTAAAAGCACGCGACCAGAAGGGCCTGTGTTAGGGCTGGTTCACACCACAAAGTGTGTTCCAGAGCATTCAGCCTCTGGAGCGAACACTCTAGAACGCACTCTTTGTGAACCGGCCCTGAATGGGAAGGGTAACATGCTACCATTTGCATTCTGCTTGCATTTGAGATTATTAAGAAACCCTTCAGAGATCATTCACAGTTCAATGACAGTTATATCTAACATGCAACTGATTATTAAATTGTATATGGTGAGAAGCAGCTCTGCAGCAAACCAAAGCCCGTCGACACAGGCCCTAAAGGAATAAACGAAACGTATTCAAGGGTATCAACAGAGAACATAAGGCTCTAGTCATTAACCTAGAACAGCGTTTATCAACCTATTTGTAGTCATTGGCCCCCTTTAATAGTATGCAAAATCTTGAGGCACCCCAGTCTAAAAGGTCATTGATTTGAAGGGGGACTTAAACACAAAAACACACAAAAAAGTGAGTTTCCCGCTTCGCATTGTAGTGCCCCTTTCAAACCAAGATTCTCCACCCCCCCACCTTCACATGAGGAGCCCCCTTTTATATCAGCGACCCCCCCACCCCCCTTCACATCAGCATTGCTCCTTTACATCAGGAGGAGCCCCCTTCATATCAGTCTTCATTCCCCCTTCACATCACAATCCAACTACCACAACATTTTGAGGCACCCCTGAGGAGGCCAGGGGGCACACCAGTTGACAAAGGCCGACTTAGAATAATGGTTATTTACAGCACTGCAAGCTGAATACAACAAACTATCCAGCTGCTGAAAGTAACACATGCATTACTGATCAGTGATTAAAGCCAATTGTTGTTTACTGATGCACTGCAATACCAGCTGTGACCAGTAGGGGCGCTACAGGTAACATTTGGAAATGACTCCAAAAACTTAGACAATCTCTTAATATGCTCCTTATTAAAGCAGAACTCTGGGCACACCATTGATTAACCCTTGAAGTGGGGCTACCACCGCACTACAAGGGTTAAGGGTTACGTGCTTGTTTGCGACTAGGTAAAAAAAAGTCATACTCACCCGATCCTAGGAGCCGGCTTGCTCTTAGACCGGTCCTTGGAGCCTTTCTCCCCCTCCGTCACAGCAGTCTAAGCATCCTCGAGCCATCACTTCCAATACACAGTGTATAGGATGCCAAGGGACATACCATTGCTAAAGTGTGGGAGGAGACAGGCTTCAGAGAGCACCGTCACAGAGAGCAGCTCGGAGGATTGGCGAGTATAACTTTTTTTTTTTCAACCTAGACACAAACAAGCAGTTACCCCTTGCAGTGCCGGGGTTAATAAAATGTGTGCCCAGAGGTCTGCGTTACACTTTCTAAAGGGTCACCCTTTACTGCAGATTTAACAATGTATTAGAATGTCAGAAAACTAATGACTTAATAAGAGGATACAAATGAAAAAGAAAAGCGGGGGGATCATTTATATTAGGCAGCTCAGACATTTGTAAGTCACTGGAGAGTGGAAGTGGCTCAGTGAGCTGGGAACTGTGGTGGATGTTGACAAACCGGGCTGGTCCCAGAATGTACGATAAGACAACCCAACACCTCATATGTGCAAACACCCAGCATAGAAGAAATGCTATTCAGCTTGGCCTAGAGTTCAGCTTTCAGTCACGGAGCAAAACTGGGCAAACAGCTAAACACACAGATACAGCAACATATATACCTGCCACAGGATATGCATGTCCATCCAGTGCAGAGATTTACACAGCTCTGCCACAGTAAAGTTCTGTCTGGCACTGTGGGGGATCGAATAGCTCTCTCCTGAAGTTAATGAACAGTTAAGGTCTCCTTTCCTCCCAATGGTCAGTGAACAGTAAAAGCAGCATCTCTCTCACTCTGCTCTCTCCTCTTATCAGCATGCTACTTGCACTACAGCACAACTGATTGGCTCTGTGTGCTGCTTCTTGTTCCTCCAGTCTGAGCTCTGCTGTACAGAGACTGCAGAAAGCTCATAGCAAGCCCAATTCAGGTACACTGCTTGTATTCATATAATATTAGGATATATTAACGCTGAAATCCAGGCAGAAAGAAAATACACAAATGATTGCTCACTGTGCTGCTGCTCCTTTCACTGCTCAGTCATAGGCTTTGGACAACCTGGGCTCAGGGGAAGTGGGATGAATGATGCTGGCCAGCATATTGAGGACATCTAAATGGTAGAAATGAATTGAAGCCGAATATTGCAGCAAAAGCTGGTTTCCTTTTTTATCCTCTGATGGGCTGTTTGCCTGGAAATCAGCGTGAAGCATAATCTCAGACGTGCAGAGTTTAGTATATAATAAACAGATGCATTCACCTCATATGGCCATATGCCATGCCAGCCTTTACAAACCCTTTTTTATATCAAATGTCTATGAATATATTTAAAGTGTATGTAAACCCCCAATAATGAATGCCTCATATTCTCCCTTTTGGTCTGTATATACCACGGAAAGTGTTTTGTTATATCTGATCAATAAGAGCAAAAAACGACCCTGCTGATCATGTCAGAAATTCAGAATTGTTCTGCATTATGTGCTTACTTCCTGTGTTGTCTCCAGGAGTCCTTATGTTAGGATTACAGAATCATTGGCCGTTATGTTGTGTAAATGGGAGAGTGGGTGGGTAAAAGAAGTTTGGCAAATTAAAACTAGGCAGGGATGACAACACTCAGTCCACACTCATGCTGTGTTGTCAGTCCCCCAACAGGACAAAGTGGACCTTTACACAGATCTTTAAAATAACAAAACACACCTTTAGAAATGTTTAGTAATGACAATCTACAATCACATACTTCTAGATCATTGCCGGCTTTGTATTCCTTGCATACCTTATTTCTCTTTTCTTCCCCAGTCTTCTGACAGTGGCCATCTCTTTTCCAAGTAGACTCCCACCTTTACTAACTGCACAAAGCATTCTACAGTCCTAGGCCGAGACAGGGCAAGGCATGTGATCTTGAATATATGTAGGATTTGCCATCACTTTCTGGATAATTAATAAATCAGAAATTCCTATACTCCTCGGCTCCAGCTAGTAGAAGGAATGTCATGCAAAAGGCTTTATAAATCAGCCCCTTTCTGTCCTGGGGTACAATGATTACCAGCACACAGAGAGAGAGAGAATGAGTATTCTCAGCAAACACAGACAGCAAATAAAACCTAAAACTGTAAATAATGACAGATTTTGGCATGATGATCACAAGTGATGCAGTAATGTTGATCCACACCTAAATGATGTTTGAAAGAAAGCCTTGTACTTCATTAGAAAACAAGTGCAGGCATTAGCAAACATGATTAGATTTGTAATAGTCGGCTCTAACCGGTTTAACAGGTTGCCGCTAAACCCATATAAAACAATCACTGCGGGATGAGAAAAGAAGCAACGCCAGCTCATCAAAGAAAGCAATGTGGGAGTGTGTGTACAGCAGACTCAAGCCAACAACAAGCCAGGTGAATGAATCCCAAAAAACAGCTGCAGAATAAAATCAAATCAGCAGACATTTCAGAGACTGGAGAGAACCCAGGTACCTTCTAAAGCGGTCATCGGACGGCGGCCCCATCCTGCCCCGATTATCGCAAGCGGTAATTAGAAGAAAGCACCTGGACGAATAGCGGTAATCGGCCGCACGTATTTTCGTCTGCACATGTGCAGTGTAAATCGTACGAATTTTTACGTACGGAAATGCCACCAACCTTGCGAAAACCGTACGATCGACCAAAGTTTTCTAACCTGCTGGTTAGTCAAAAGTGGATCGATTGTACAGTATTTGCAGTTGTACACTGCCCATCAACCGTACGAATATAGGACGAAAACTCAATCGCAAACGAAAAAAATCGGCAGATATTCGTAAGGTGTATGGGCAACTTAAGGCAAGTAGGCCTGTCATAAATCTCATCCTGTGTCACACTTGGAAGCTTCTATCTCTGACTTTCAGGGCTCATGCCCACAGCAATAAAAACACTACATCTCGATCAGTACACTTTTTTTAATGGATGTGAACATCGTTCTATTGTTTTCTATGTTCATTTGTGAACACAGAGCTGATCTGATTTGCCAGAAAACTCCAGTTTTGTCTTATCTGTCCAAAAGACATTCTCCCAGAAGCATTGGGGCCGGCCATGATGCATATTAGCAAATTCTAGCCCGGCTTTTTTGTTTATTCTTTCAACAGTGGAGTCCCCCTGAGTCTTTTTCCATTGAGCCCACTGTCACTAAAATAAACCCCCAAAAACCTGATGTACCCTGGAGTAATCACAGTGGTGCACCAGTACACACAAAAGGAAACTTCCAATATCTATACTACGTTGATATGTTTATTTGAGAAATGTCACGCCATGTCATCAGAAGCTAATATTTCAGGACCTCACAGGGACCCTTCATCAGAGCGACACATTGAGTGACATCAGAGCGTTAGCTTCTGATGACATTTCTCAAACATATCAACGAGATATTGATATTGGAATTTTCCTTTGTGTGTGCCGGTAAACCACTGTGATTACTCTGAGTTTTGCACGGCGCCATCCGTGCGATCACCTCGAGCACCACTAATATTGCAAGGTTGTGAGACCGTAAGGAGTGCAGGTGGCTTTCAGAAACAACTGATGTGACTTCGGAGTTCAGCTTGGAGGTTTTCCTTGAATCTTTGTCTACCATTCACAATATCCTTCTGTTCAATCTGAGGTCAATGTTCCTCCTGTGGACACATCTAGGGAGCTTGGCCACACTCCTGTGGACCTCGCACTACCTAATATCTATAATATTCTTGCTGATCTCCTCAGACAACTCTCTTCTTTGTGTCTCCTGGTTCATGTTCTGTGTGGTGCACATCACTGCTTCTATCCATATAAATTGTCTGACTGGCTGATTACAAGAATGAAGACATGCGTGATACTAAATACAGAAACGTTAGTATGAAATATCACTGCCAGCAAATCTGCCCAGGAAATCATAGAATATCTCTTTTTCCTTTCTAAATATGTATTCCCTTACTCTATGACGTGCCAATTGCTTTTCATGTCATCACTTTTCACAGGAAGAATGAAGCATCGTTTCAACGGGCTGTAAGGGTACCAAAAATGTGTCCACGCCTGCAATCCCAAAAACACCTTACTAGTCCTTTGATATGGTAGCTGAATTAGTTTTCTTTTTTCAGGCTAAGTCTATTTTCTGCAAATACAGAAAAATATTGATCCTGATATAAATCCAGTTATGGTGTACGTTTCTGTGTACTAGATTGTAACCTCCAACAAGGTTATCAGCTTTCCAAGATATCTTCTGTGAACGACACAATGCTTCCCTCCTATGTTACTCAGATGAAGAGGCGTTTGTAGTCAAGATCAGGTCAGCCCAGGGTGACCATGCTGCTCCTTCACAAACACAGTACGGCAAAGCAAAATGAGTCACATCTTTTTCCTTCAGGTCCCTCCTCTGCTGATTGACAGCAAGCAGTGGGCGGGTGCAATACCCAGCCGGCTATTGCAATTTGAAGTAGCCAATAGCAGGTTAGCTATTGCACCCACCCACTGCCTGTGTTTACATTCAGCTGCCTCTAATAGAACCCTAATGACACCTTAAGGAGAACCTTTCTTCTCCAACGTGCTATCACATAGGGGATAGCACGTTGGAGAAGAAAAGTTAAATTAACAAAAAAGTTACATTAAATAAAATTAAAAATACCAGAAAAAATAAAAATCTA